AAAAAAAAAAAAAAAAAAGCTTTTGGTGCCTCTACTGAGAAATGGTGAAAGGCTAAAGATAGTCCTTTCTTCTGAGACTTGCAAATACTGCTGTGAGGGATTCAAGTTTTCAAGACTAGTTTTCTTCCTTATTGAAAATAGAATGTATTAAATCATTTATACTATTTACTAAACACTAACCAGATTGTACTTAAGAGTTCTTTGTGTGGTTATTATTCCAATGGAAATTTGGTTTTATATATGTGGTCATATAGCCACATATAGTGAAATGTGCCTAGCGCACAGCCAGGAATGAGGAAACAGCCTTAAAGAAATCTACACAGGCAAGGTAGGCTAGTTCAGTTTTGAATTTGGCTTAAGTCTGTTACGAAATATTGATGGTAGCAAAACAATCACACCTCTGCCTGTGATTAGAATTCTTTCCTTCAGAGTCTTCCCCCACGACCCTTTGGTGTTTTATTGTTGTCGTTGTTAGAGTGGATTATGTTGATGAGTCAAAATAAACATTCAGGAATTCACAGAATAGTTACTCAGTGTTTAGTATTACAGAACTAGAACTTTAGTATCATGGAATGATTTTAAGTTTGAATAATATTAACAGCATTTCTGTGCTGTACTTTGCCATTAAGTAGAAATCTTAGATTGACTTAGTCTTTATCAGGTAGGACAACATCTCACTTGGCATTACACAGGCGCTTGGATGCTGTCTTTTAGGAAGTGTGAAATGGTCTTCTCTGGTCTTATGTGCCATATACATAATGTTATTTAGAAAAGCCTGAGATTCTTTCTTACTGTTATTCCGGTTGGTGTTTTCAGTAATTGATATTTTAAAAAGAAAGTTGTAGTCATATAGCAAAGTTGCTTTTGTAACTTTTAAGCTAGAGAAAACTTAAGCAATAACCAGTATGTATACTGGCCTGCTAACTTATTTTCATTAAAAACCTGTAAACCTAGGGCATATGTAGAGACTATTTGATCATGCACATGTAAGATAATTTTAAAAGTTTAAAGTGAAGTTGAGAGTTTCTGCATATGATTTAAATCCAAGTCTCGCATATGCCAAATTAAATAAGTTATTAAATTCTGTGCTTTTATTTTTCTTTAACAGGATGATGATGCTGAAGCTATCCTTGCTGCGGACTTTGAAATTGGCCACTTTTTACGTGAGCGCATAATCCCAAGATCAGTGTTATACTTTACTGGAGAAGCTATTGAAGATGATGATGATGATGTGAGTGAATTTGAATCCAGCAGTGAAATCGTTTGGTGAGGGTGTGATAGTCAGAATCGGTGAGAGGTTTAGTGAATAGATGCAATTGTTAAAAAGCAAGACAGAATAATTCAAAATTAGGCTGATTACTTATGTCCTTTTAGATAACCTCCTTGAATTAAGTAGGTCCTTTTAGGATCTTTGGGTTCATTTATTGTAGTTTTTATTTTCCTGCTATTAGGAAGGCTACTTTCTCTGAAGTGGTAAAACTTTACTATGTTGGGTTAGTGTTGTAAATCCATTACACATCTTTGACCAAACAAAACGTAACCTTGTACATTTTCTACTACTGATAAAAATCTTTATTAGGAAGCATGGGATTTTTATCCATAGGAATATTAAGTAACGATTAAGGTAAAATTAGGCTGCTCTCAAATATTTTGTATATCTTTCTTGTTAAATGGCAATCATTCACATAGCCTTTAGGTCCTTTTTGTACAGGCAAGTAATATTTACAGTCATAGTTATCTGATCGTACTTCATCCATGATTGTACTGTGTTCTTTATTTTAATTTTTTAAAGTGTCAGGTTTAGATAATGGCGCTGAGCTGGGTGATTCCTGAAGATATTGTCCTTGTTTTAATTTATAATCAGTGACTGTAGGGAATGTATTTTTTCCTCTCTTTAGATATTAGGGGATACAATGGTGGATATTAACTAAGTGCTACTTTCAGATGTTTGTTAGCATCACTCAAATGTCTCCTTTTTTCCCTTTTTTAGTATGATGAAGAAGGTGAAGAAGCGGATGAGGTAATGTTTACCAAATGAGCAAATAATTCTGTTTAACACATTGAGAAGCAAATTGAGTGACTTATGTATTCCTTTGCTATAAATCATTACTCTGTGATATGGGATAAAAACGTTTTTGGAAAAAAATATGGTTTTAGAATTCTACAGCCAAACAATGTATGTATGAGGTTTCAATAAATAAATTGCAAAACTCAGAACATTTTTTTTATTTCAAATAATTCTGTTCTGCTGCAGGGTTATCAGCTCTTTGAAGAAGTCAAAAGCTGCAGTAAACTTTTTCAACGTTGGCTGCAGTAAATCTTTTCAATAAAACCTGTCTGGATGTCTCAAGTTGTGTTGGGAAATCTTTCATATTAGAAGCTTTCAAATTAAATTGCATTGTCACCAAACTCTGTAATCATGAAAATCTGTTGACTTATAGAGTAACTTGTATTAAATTCTCCCTACATTATGAGCCATTTCTTCCTATTATGTACCTACTTCATGGATGCATTTTGAACTTTAATATAGGAAGGGGAAGAAGAAGGAGATGAGGAAAATGATCCAGACTTTGACCCAAAGGTGAGCAAAATTAGTGCTGCTTTCTGTTAAATTTAAGGCAGGTTAAATATGAGTTAGTGTCTCTTAATGTAAAGTTTTAGTCTATTAAAGTCTAATGAATCTCTCCTCACTGGCATTTCAATAGTACATGTAATTTCAATGCACCTTTCCTAAGAAACGTTTATTTTTGGCTCTGACCTTTATTTTTCCTAGTTTCAGGCGAAATAACCCTAGGTTCTATTTTAATGGCACATTATCTTGGGCATTTTTTTTTAATGTTTTTTTTAGAAGCACTTAAAATGACTTATTGCTTGTGTTCTTTAGGTTGTTTTCTCCCCAAAGGAAAGCTTATAATAAACATAGGTCAGTTTTTAAATCATCTGAATGCAGGAGTGCACAGGAATAGGGGAGCAATACTCCTAGGTTCTCCCAGTCATCTCTTTGCTCCATATCTGAGAGTCCCAGTTTCTTATTCCTGGGAAGTTGTCATGTGGACTTTATCTCCCACAGAATGCTTAGTATGTTATCAGAATTCATTTGGAACTTCTGGTTTCTCTTTAATGTATTTATTTATTTGCTTATGCTGTAAAAATATCCAGAAGATACTTTAACCTAGTGAGCAGGTAACAGAGGGTAGTTAAAAAAAATCAAATATTCTAATAGGTATGAATTGGGGTTAACAGCTAAATATGAATGGAATTAGTATTTTAGAATAACTGATCTATTAAAAGGCAAAAATAATTGGTAATATGACTTAACAAATTGCTTGGCTATTTTAAGATGATAGATAGCTTAATTTGTTCACTTTATGGAGTTCATTCTACAATGTAAAATTGGGGCTTTTATTTTTTAGCATTTTTGTGACTTGGTAATATTTGAATAAATAATTTGCCATCATTTATTTTTTAAAATTTGGCAGAAATTTTGACAGAACAGTGAGATAATGCGATAATTAAGATAGTTAACTACTATTGAAAAATAAACTGAAGCAGGTAGAAAAAGATAGATTGACTTGTTGTTTTCCTTTAACAGAAGGATCAAAACCCAGCAGAGTGCAAGCAGCAGTGAAGCAGGATGTATGTGGCCTTGAGGATAACCTGCACTGTAATAGCCTAAACACAACTATTATTTACTTACAGCCTTATGTTTTTGTATTTTCTTGGTAGACTCAAGTTTTTTTTTAAAGGAAAGGAACTGATATTTTAAAGACCAAATTTGTTCTACTTAGCATTTTAACTAGTTTTCCTGCCAGATACATTGAATGCACAAATTCTCTCACGCATGTTTGTTCATTGCTACATATTTGGTTCTTCCTGGAGTATTTTTATCTTGTAACTACTAGATTACAGTTATGAAAATGAACGGAACTGTGAAATGAACCAGATTTTTGGTCTTGCTAATTTTTTTCCTGAAGAACCAAAGTATTTTTTCAGCGGGTAGTTGAATGGGTTTAAGTTCGCTTGCACTAGCTGTGCCTTTCATTACTTTGTTACAGAAATACGGTGACTTATACTAAGACAATTCATCATTTAAAAAACAATACTCGTCAAGACAAGTATATGGTTAAGAATTTCCAGTAAGACCACACCTGATAACTTAGATTGTTAATGGATTTTTGTATTTCAGGTGACAGTTACTATAAAGAAATCTTATTAACTAATAGTATGGTTATTGGTTACCACAGGGAGGTGAATAAAACCTAGTATTTTCAGAAGTTAAGTCTCATTATTTTTATTTTAACTGTACTTTTAAAATTTAACCTCCATTAACTAAGCATCTTTTCTTTGTGGTAGGGTCTACCTTCTGCTTCCCTGGAAAGGATGAATTTACATCATTTGACAAGCCTATTTCAAGTTTTTTGTTGTTTGTTTGCTCGTTTTTGTTTTTGCAGCCTAAAATAAAAATGTCAAATATAATTTTAGTTCTCCAGAGATAATGTCTTAATTTTGTACTAATTCAGGTAGAAGCAGAGGCCTAGCTTAAATTATGTACCCAGTTTACCGCATTATTGAAAAGGGTGCCAACCTTGGAAGAGGTACTACATCTACTAATGAGAGAGTATTAAAAAAGAAAACAAAATCTTAAATGATTTAATGTTTTTAATAGAAAGATCAAAAGGGTAAATTTTATTTCCCTTGGTCAGAACTAGACAAAAGGCCCCAAGCCTCTACAGTTAATTCCAATTCTTATTCCTTAAAGTATGAGTGTGTCATTTACCCACGCCTTTTGTTTTACTATGTATTAAAATGGGTAGTACTGTTTACTTAACTACCTCACAGATGTGTTAAGGCATAGTAAGTTAAATTTTATGACATGTTTCTCAGTCTCATCAAGAGCTCAAAAGTTTGGACCTATTTGTACCACAAGTATGTGATATTCAGCATTTTATTTATACCAAGGTCTGATAGTTAAACTGGAAAACAAAGATTAAGGACCTTTATTCTGGATCCGGTCAGGCAACCCTTGCAGATCTTTGTGTGGCTCCTATTTTAATAGAAGTGGATGGACGAGCAGCTGTTTGAAAAGGTCCAAGAATTATTTTTCCAGCTCTTTTAATTATGACCATATTGTAGTAAATACTGCAGATATCATGGGACTAAAGTAGAAATAAGACCATTTTTAGAGGGGGGAAATGCCATTAAATTAGAGACTGTAGAGCCACGTTTAATATACCTCAGGCTAATTACTGTTACTTTTGGGGATGAGCTTTAAAGCTTTGACAGTGAGGATGGACTAATTGAGTTGTAATTATAGGAAGGCCTTAGAGTTCCTTCTATATTAATAAAATTACATTGCATTCCTTTTTAGAGGTGATAGAGCTTCTGTTTTAAAAATTTAGTATTAAGGTCTTGGAATGTAAACACATTGTGTTCTTTGTATAGTACTGTCCCTTCCTCTCCTGAGATTTTAATTAACTACTGGAAATCCTTAACCAATTGCAGTAGCTTATAGGGGGGAAAAGGGGAAAATGCCATGAAAACACCTGTTTTTCCTCTTTATTTTCAAAATGATTTTGGTTGTTTTGATTAGACATTCTTTGACTTTTTTTTTTTCTTTTGCACCCATAGCTCACCTGAACACAGCTTTTTCTGAACTTAAAAATTTTAATCTAAAGATAGAATCCCATTTTTAATGAACTTAAAGAAGTAGCAAAATCACTACTTGTTTTTTTCATTCCTTTAGGAAATAGCTGTTGCCAAAGTGAAGAGGTAGATACTATTTCATCTTGTTATATAAAGGGGAATATGGTTTGCAGAGCAATTGTTTTTTAAATAAAGTTGGAGTTTCAAGGGATATCAGTGTTCATCTATGCCATCTCTCCAGTTTCAAAATGGTTCTATTCCATTCTAGAAATTTGACATATGTAATTTGAAATCCTTAATAAAATTGCATTTAATTTTATAAAATGTACTGGTGATATTTTGGGTGGTTTTTAAAAAAGAATGAGTATATACTTTTTTTTGAAAGAGTGGAGAGTAGAGATGTTTTGAGTAGACTGTTCAATGCTTAGGCCATGATGGCCTGTAAAATGTGTCATTTTAAGAGCAACCTCCCAAGCTCTGCTAAATCATGTTTTTGGAAGACTAGACAGAAAGGAATTCCCTAGTTCTACAGATTATACTCTGAGTTAACTATAGATGTTTCTGAGGCCCTTCGAGTTTTGTCTTTACATTTTCAGTTTATAGTATTCTCTAGCCCAGGCAGTGACTACCAAGAAGTTCTCTATTTCTCTCTGGAAATGGTAAAATCCCATATGATCACCTGTAAAGTAATGCTTAAATTTTTTTCTTTTTATTCAAATATGGTTATAAGCAGAGAACAACAGTTCCATAAATTGATTGGTTTTTAGTTTAACATGGATCTCTGAACATTATTTTATTTAGTTCACTGAAGTTGTAGTAGTATTTATGTGACATAAAAATGTCTTAATTGTGTGGAATTGGCTTACAGAGTAGTGCTTTAAAACGTGGGATTCTACCTCTGTTTCCTTTTTAACACATTTAATAACAACACTGTAAACCTTAAAAGGACACATTAGCTTTGATAGAAACATTTTAATTATTCTGTGAACGGGTTAATGGTATTCATTGGTGTATTTGATAAGGCCCTTAAGATAACTGAATTAACTGTATATTACTGCTGCTTGTAAGAGAGTAAATTTGTGGGTTATCTGAGTAGTAGGCCATTCCCATCATTGAAAATAAAAATAAAACTGAATCATTGTAGAAACCTCATTGTACCATGCAGAAATATTAAACTATTTAATATTCAAATATTCTTTGCTTGGTTTTAGGGCTTGGTTTAGAATTTGAGTCCTTTTTTATGAGTTAGTCCTATACAAATTTTAGCCTTTATATTTTTGACTGTTTAAGTCAAGCCAAATGTTATTTAAATGTACAGAGTTAATGGATAGTTTAGAAGAAGCATACATTCTTTATAGGAACCTTAGGAAAGAGAAATCATATGCTAACATAGATTTTAATCTTCTGCACTGTATATATACTTGGTAATTGTGAACTGGATTTTGTTTTGAAAATCCGTGTTTATAATTTAGGTGGTTTGCTACTTAAAGCACTAAGTCTCTAATAGCTGAAAAGTAAATGTAAATGATAATGGTGAAATTAACTGAGATTAACTTATATAGTGGTGATTTTTGTATACTCGTTTAAAAATCCAGATGCTTAAAAATATAACTTGGAGAAAGAGCCAAGGTTTTGGGTTAATTAAGGATTACTTCAGAGAAATGGGAACATCTTTGTCGGAGTGTAGAATTACTTTATTTAAGGATAAATGTTTATTAGAAAAATTGTATTCAGTTAATTTTATTTTCAAAAATATTTACAATATACACGCTATCTTGTGTTTCTTCCATTTGACGTTATATACCATACTTCGTTTTTCAGTTTTTTAAAAAATTGACTAAGTGTAAAGTAAATGAGAAACGGAGCATGACAATTTAGAAATAATAAATTGCCAGCAGGAAATAAGTTGTTAATCAAATTGCTTACTTTTCATATTGCGAGTTTATAGCTTTTGTAGATCTCTTATTTTGAGTTTTATTATTTTGAAACTCGGGGATGTGTTAGTTAAAAGCAGTACTTTTTAGTTCTTCATGTGTGTGGGTGCTTTTTGTTTTTAAAGAGAAGTCTGTGTCTTCATTGGCTGGCAGGCTATTTGAGGCGGATGGAGCGGGAGGCGTGGGTGGCCCCGTGCTGTGCCGGCCGTGCTGCGCGGGCTGGCTCTTAGGTGATTGAGAACTCGCCTCGGTAGTGCCCAATCATCGCAGGCTTGATTTCCACCTGGTTGAAGGTCTTGTTGTAGACGCCCACCATGCTGCCCGTCATGTTGGGCTGGATGATCATGTTGCGCAGGTGCGTTGACCACCTCGGGCTTCTCCTTGGGCGGTGCCGCATGCTTGACCTTGCGCAGGCGCTTCGGCAGCCAGTGCTGTTTCCTCCGCAGGCGGCGGTGCGGCTGCCGCCACTGCCTCACACGCCATGAAGCTGCCTTAGCTGCTCCTAGGATATGTCCAGCGGTGGGTCGAGGTCCAGGCCACAGTAGGTGAGCTCGTGGAAGGTCGTCTGCTTTCCACTTCTGCTGTCTTGTCGGTTTTTCAGAAAGGCTAGGTCTTCATGTATTTTACGTTTGAAAATAAGGAACTGGGGGATGTGTTGAAAAATGCAAGTGCCAGAAGTGGACAGATTGCATAGTAGTATTAATACTCATTTTTCTTTCATAATGAAATTAAGCAGTTGTTGCTCAGAAACTTTCATGGAGTGGTAAAAGTTTCTGCCAGAATACTCAAATCTTATGTAAGAGCTTTTAGCTGGGAATTCACGGATGAGTAGGAATTTGTGTAGTGAGGATGGCGCCTCCGAGCAGAGAGCAGTTCAGGTGAAGGTTTTAGAGGAGACACACCATCAGGGTCCTGAAGTAGGACAATCCATGGCACTTTCAAGGCAGTGAAAAGAATGGATGACATAAGGGGCGAAGCCATGGAAGGCTTAGCTGTAGAAGTCCTTTTAAAGGGGTTTTCAAGTGATGATGACCTTTCCATGAAGATAACTTTAAAGTAAGACATGATTAAGACTAAGAGTCAACCATTCGTAGGTAAGAACATTGGGGCTGGTTAGAGGCTGGGTCTAAAAGTAGGGTAGAGTGTCAAAGTAAGGGATGAAGGTTTTTGGGTTTTTTTGTTTTTTAAATAATAGATTCAAGGTTATCTGCAATGAATCCTCTTAAATTCCAGATTGCTTTTTGCAAGGAAGCCCTTATGGATATTGCAACTTTTCTCTAACTCTAAAATTACAATAGTTGAAAGAATTCCTGTACATTCTTTGCTCAAAATCACCGTTTATTGTTTTTGCTACATGATTCTATATTCATGCATGTATCTTTTTTCTGTAGTACTTGACAGAGTTGGAGACATTGTGCCCTTTTAGCCTCTAAATGCTGTATTTTTTCATCAGGAAGACATTCTTACAGAATCACAGTATGATTACTCAAAGTCAGGAAATTTTATTGTGTAATCAGTTCATTTTGATGCTTCAGTCATCTCAGGTTTGATCAGTGGTATCCTTTTACAATTGGTTCCTGTGTGCTTTTGGTGTGTCCTGCATCATTTGAGCTCTTGGCATACTTTATAGCTCAGAAAGATTTTCTGGGATCATCTTAGGCTTTTTTGTACCAGCTCTGAAACTGGCTATTTCCCCAAGGATCCCTGGTTCCCTTTAATGGGCAGTGGTACTTAGAGATCAAGTCTAGGTGATGGGTTTGCTTGTTCTTGGGATTTTATTATTTCTAGGTCTTTTCAGGTGACTTATTATTTCTAGGTCTTGTCAGGTGACAGACGTAGGAAATATATTAAAAACTGAGTACACACTGAATATTTCAAAGTTAATCCAAGACAGTAGGAG